CTTGTTCTTTCTCTCTATCCAAATTGTCTTTGGCCTGTTGTCCTAAAATGACCGGTAGAACCACAGTTAGGTTACACAACCACAACACCACGAGGGCCATTAGTACGGTCCTCATCTCCGGAAAATTCTACATCAGCTCCTTTGAACACTCTTACAACTGAAAAAACGGTTCTCTGGCCGCTAGTAGGCTCCTGGCCCGAGAAATCCCCGGTGTCTCCCATTTTACAGGTCTCCCATTTTCGCTCTCAAACCCCGAAACCGCTCTGATTTCTACGGAAAGCCGTGTGATAATCTTGTACGAATTTGACCTCATTTATCGGATCCTAGATTTCCAGTGGTCAGCAAAAATTGTACCGCTAGAATACTGATTATTTTAAAGGTTGAATGCTACAGTGAACATTTGTCTCAGTTAACAAAATAAAAATTGGCTTGACAAAGATGTATATTTATAAATATACACACACATATACACCGTAGTACAATGTGCATTATCTGTGTTGAACTCTTGAGACAAAAGTTAAGGATATTAGGATATATTTAATGACTTTGCAGAGAAGTATCGTGCGTAGGCCTATGTTCAATGACTGTAGACTTTTTAACATCAGTTATTTGCGCACTGTAATGAAATACGTATGTATTAAATCATGTTTCGAGCACCATGTAACTGTTAGTTTAGATTATAACTATATATACTCGGGTTTTAGCAACTGAACTTAGCTATGATAGTTACTATTGAAGAAAGAGTATTTTTGGCTGAGCATGTTGTGGCAGGTATTTTAACGTAGTTGTTCAAAAATGTATAGTGTTATTTCCTGGCACTCATAATAATACAGCTAGCAATTTAACCAATAGATTCAGTTATGAAAAGAGCTGTAATGTAGGAAATAGTACCCCACCCCCCCCCCCCCCAAAAAAAAAAAACAGGATACAATATAGCATTTTATGTTGCATTAATTCCACAGTCGGTGATTACAAAAGTATTCGACTTAGTCTTTGTCCAGGTTTCAACTTCACAGCAGTCGGGTTTCCGCATACATTTTTTCCCTTTTAGTGCCATCGAAAATAAAATGAAATGCCCCTCACTAATGTATTTGAAAAATTGGTGAACAAACAATCAGTCCCAGAGTTGCCAAGATGTAGTTGATCAGGCTGTACATGCATATTTTAGTTGCTAGGGGTGCCTTAACCAACAGTCGCCACAGGAAATGCAGCTTGTGGTTTACTAGAGTAGTGGGGCACGTTAAGTGGCTATACACACGTATACTTATTACATAAGGTATTTCACCACCTTACACGTAAACCGGCTCCCGGTCATATTACATACCGCGACACAACCGCTGCACAAATGAAAGACATAAAACAAGAAAAACACAGCTCACAGGGCTGCACCAAGCACTAAACTCATTAGCTCAGGCTGCGAAACCATGACTACCGTCCACATGTGGAAACTGCATTAGCAAAGCGGTGTCGGAATAAAAAATAATTCGAATCTTAATATTCAGTCATGTCTAATGATAACAACAGTATGAACGTCAATATTCTGAGCAAAACCCAATCATTATAATTAAACCCTGTAAAAGGTAAAAAAGGTGAAGTCGGGAGATGTGAACCAGCGTCATTGCACACGGTTATAAATCATAAGTGCTCTGCCACCAGTACGGACAGCTAATAAGGAACCAGGCCACCATCTTCAGACTTAGAACGCAACATACTCCACTCAATTGACATCTAAACAGAATACAGCCACAACACTCCCCAGAGTGCCAGCTATGTAACTACCCCTACGAAACTGTTGAACACAATCTCTTTGAGTGCCCAAAACTCAGCGAGACTAGAAGAATGCTACTCCCTCCGAGACCAGACAAGTGGAACACCTTGTACGGAGGAAAAGAACAGGTTGTGAAAACATGTAAATTCCACTACATGGCATTGGGCCAAAGGGCGAAAGCTCATGCGCCGCTGGATCGATAACAACAACAACAACGACAGCTAATAAGAAACTGTCCGCCTGGGTCGCCGTCTGCACGTAACTCTGTAGCTAGAGGGACGTTCCTCCATTCACCCCAGAGTATCAACTCTGGTACCCATTTCCCAGAGGCTGGGTGAACCACGGGAACCGCCCGGTTTCGAACACTGACGGTGGCTGCAACGAGTCGCAGCTGGATTTGAAAGCAAGCCTCCCTATCGACTGCACTAACGCCTCTCCTTGTGTTAATGTCTATTTCTGACACTATATGTGTTTGTCAGTGTATAGATAGATACGTTTATATTGTGTGACAGTGTATAGATAGATACGTTTGTATTGTGTGACAGTGTATAGATAGATACGTTTATATTGTGTGACAGTGTATAGATAGATACGTTTATATTGTTTGACAGTGTATAGATAGATACGTTTATTTTGTGTGACAGTGTATAGATAGATACGTTTATTTTGTGTGACAGTGTATAGATAGATACGTTTATATTGTGTGACAGTGTATAGATAGATACGTTTATATTATTTGACAGTGTACAGATAGATAGATAGATACGTTTATATTGTGTGACAGTGTTTAGATAGATAGATACGTTTATATTGTGTGACAGTGTATAGATAGATACGTTTATATTCTTTGACAGTGTATAGATAGACACGTTTATATTGTGTGACAGTGTATAGATAGATACGTTTACATTGTGTGACAGTGTATAGATAGATACGTTTATATTGTGTGACAGTGTATAGATAGATACGTTTATATTGTGTGACAGTGTATAGATAGATACGTTTATATTGTGTGACAGTGTATAGATAGATACGTTTGTATTGTGTGACAGTGTATAGATAGATACGTTTGTATTGTGTGACAGTGTATAGATAGATACGTTTATATTGTGAAGCAATTTCTGTAAAAATAATTATCCTCGTCCTCATCATCATCATCATCATCATCTTCTAATGATCCCAATCCTTCGAAGGAAAGTGTACCCTGTTTGCTCCCAGTATAGCCCAAGCATGCCGCCGCAACATTCTCTGTAATGCCCAGACAATGTCACATTTCCGTAACATGCCGACGAGAAGGCATAAGTAACATTCTTTTGGGCAAAATGTAGATAGAAATGAATTTAAAAAAAAAAGTTCACCAGAATATCAGTTTTCCAAAGTCCTATTGCAAGGAGAACCCTCTTCCAAACAGTAACAAGTACTCCTCCTCGTCCCCTCTCAGTAGCATCCTGGTAGGCACTTGTCTTTTTTCAGGAAGGTCAAGCCGGATAAACTATTCATTTAGTTCACCTAATTTTTTTCTGTATCTATCTAGTTGAGTGTTAGGCTGCATATAAATTATGTTATACTGTTTGGTATACGTACGGTTTGGTATACGTACTGTTTGGTATAATACTTTCTGGTATACATACTGTTTGGTATACTTACTCTCTGGTATATGTACTGTTTGCTAGACGTACTATCTGGTATAGGTAATGTTTGGTAAAAGTACTGTTAACTGCGTATACCGAGGTACCACTTTATTTTATTTTAGGGCAAATAAGCTGAATGCTAAAATGCACTTTTCTGTCAGTTGAACTTGTGACCTTTAGGACGATAGAGCATCGCTGCAGACACAGATGTACTTCGCGTATGACCAACTGGACACTGGGCATTTCATAAATGCATTTTTAAAAAATTGTAGAAATGAGGTTGGGGAGTGGATTGGTGGTGTGGGGGGGGGGGGGGGGGATTAACATTGCATGGTCACAAGCCTTTATGATCTCCACCATCACTTGCACCCTGTCCATCATCACCAACATGTTCCATGCAATTAAGTGTCATGGTTTTGTCATCACAATCGACGTCAGTGCACATTTGACATTCCTATAGGTCCCGAGTCCTCAGTTGCACGCAGCCACTGAGATTAAATGCTCCCCTAAGGACTTAGGTATAATGTTTCCAATCTATCTCGGCCTTGTAATCAGCATAGACCTGCTTCACCATGCTTTACTCCCAGGTCATACAATTGTGTTAGTGTCAGAGGTTAGTTATTATTTACTTGCCTGGCCAGTCGTCATCATTATCAAACAACTGGTCCTTTACAGGACGTCGCTCTCTTCGCATCTAAAAGTTTTTCTTGTCAATTCTCCAGCTCGATGTACTTTTGTATCCAGTGCGTCTGCAGTGTCTTGTATCCACTATTGCAGAGGTAGGCCTCTGGATCGTTTTCCGCGAACTACACCTTCCATTACTGTTTCCAGGTAACCACAATGTTTAACACACATGATTTTTCTCCCCTTCAAAATCGGGTTGGGTGGTTGGGGTGGGAGGATTCTTTTTTTCTCTGTACTTGTTAACATTGTTACAATTCATAATTATTTCTTTTAAGGTCTGTACACTAGCCCTAACCCCCGTGTCCCATGAGAGAGTACAGCTTATGTCATATAAGAGAGTGCAGCCTATGTCATATACGAGAGTGCAGCCTGTGTCCCAAAAGAGAGTACAGCCTATGTCATATAAGAGAGTGCAGCCTATGTCCCAAAAGAGAGTGCAGCCTACGTTCCACGAGGGAGTGCAGACTATGTCCTACAAGAGGATGCAGCCTTTGTCCTAAAGAGAGTGCAGCCTATATCCAACAAGAGAGCACAGCCTACGTCCTACAAGAGAGTGCAGCCTACGTCCCACAAGAGGTTGCAGCCTAAGTCCTACTAGAGAGTGCAGCCTATGTCTTACGAGAGAGTGCAGCTTAAGTCCTACAAGAGAGTGCAGCCTACGTTCTTCGAGAGAATGCAGCCTACGTCCCACGAGGAAGTGCAGCCTATGTCCTACAAGAGAGTGCAGCCTGTGTCCCTCGAGGGAGTGTAGCCTATGTCCTACAAGAGGATGAAGCCTATGTCCTAAAGAGAGTGCAGCCTATATCCTACAAGAGAGCGCAGCCCAAGTCCTACAAGAGAGTGCAGCCTAAGTCCTACAAGAGAGTGCAGCCTACATCCCACAAGAGAGTGCAGCCTATGTTCCACAAGAGAGTGCAGCCGACCTCCCACAAGAGAGTGCAGCCTATGTCTCACGAGAGACTGGAGCCTATGTTTTACGAAAGAGTGCAGCCTACGTTCCACGAAAGAGTGCAGCCTACGTCCCACGAGAGA